AGGAATGCAGGGAGCTACTGTTCACTAGGTGGGTGTTTTGATTCTCTTCCTTTCAGCAGTTTATAGTTTTCAGCTACTGGAACAAAGCAATAAATAAAATGAAACCTCTCTATTGCTAAGATATTTTACTTCAAAACAGGTTGACTTTGAGAAAAAAAATCACTGTAGTTGAAGTTACAGTCGGCAGGCAGTTGTGGAGTTAGCAACCTATATGTTGCAAAGAACCAAAACCAGTAAAGCTTTGTTTTTTATTACTTACTAGAAGCAGGATTTCTCTGTTGGTGATCTTTATTCGGGAGGCAAATTCCTATGAACTCAGTTCCTCAAGAAACTTAATTGTTCTGGTCTTCCTGAAAGCATTTGCAGAACTTAAAAATCCTGAAGAGAATTCAAGAGCTAGCTTTTAGAAGGAAGAAATGCTGACTTTTTACTTAGCCAGCTGTGGCAGGCTATAGTATTCACATGATGTCTGCTTTCATTAGCAGTGGTGAAACTTTGCAACATTCATTTTCTGGCAGTGCGCTTAACATGCAGAGGTGACCTAGAGCTCTGAATTTGGCCTTGCAATTCTAATGTCTGCAGTGCTGGGAAGTATTTAGTTACGCAGGCATAAGCCTGGGTTTAGTTAGCCAGGATGTTAAACCTTGACTCAGGCTTTCCCAGGGGCATGGTGGGTGTTGCTGTGCAGACCTCTTAAAACAATACAGTACTGAGATTTATTTACCCCAGAGGGAGAAACATATAGGCAGGGACTTGAGAGGTGGGTAAAGTTTGCATGCTGCAGTGAGCAGTGCTAAGAAGGAGAGAATGTGTGAGATGATGTATGTGAATGAGTTCTGTACTGGCCTTCCAGATACTGTATTTGCTTTTTATTCTTGCTGTATTAAAACCTTAACCCAAGTCTAATGACTGAATTCATTCTTCAAATTATTTTTTTTGTCCTTCTTTTTTCCTTTCATTTGGTGCTGCTTCCTCTCTTCCTCTCTTCCTTCTTGACTCTGCCTGGGCAGGCCCTTGCTCCTCCCCGTCCTCCTCTTCCCAAAGAGGAAAGCTTTGCATGGCGTCCTCGCACTGACACTAAAGGGACCAACCTGTTGCCAGTGCCCATCATGGACTGCGTGTACCTGAATGCACCCAAGCCTTATACGCAACGTGCATCACCAAATGCCAGTGCACGGTGTTATTTCTCATCACCTATGCCCTATGGGGCCATCCCCAGTGGGAAGCAAGGCTTGCCAGCAGGGCATTCTCCCTCTTCAGGCCCCAAAGATGAGGTGCATGCTGGGCAACCACTCTTGGAAAGTCGCTCCTCGTCAGATGCATCATCCATACAACACAACCCTGACAGAGCAGATCCCAGTAGTAAGGCTGGAATGAATTCCAGTCATAAGACGAAGGCGGATAAAAAGGTCACCAAACTATATGTAGCTTGTTTATCTAACAGCACTTGCTCAGCCACATCTGAAAATTCCACTGGCACCGCACATGACCCAGCAGCCAGCACCAGTTTGGGCGCTGAGCTCACTCAAGCACCAGCCACCGACATTGTTTCCTCTGTAACAGATACTGGAAAGTCTCTTCCTACTCCTACTCCTCCTCCTATTCCTCCCAGGCCGTACTTTTACGTTGTCCTCAGTAAAGACGCAGTTAGTTATGGTGCGGGCCAACCCTCCTGGACTCAGTCGTCACCTCCGCAAGCTGTGAGGGACAGAGTGCTAGAGCCCCAGAGCACAGCTGCCGCAGAGGACAGGATGAGAAAAGAGCCTTACCTTACTCAACAGCGGCAGCCACCATACAAGGCAATGGGACGCAGCATGGTACATATTTTCTCCATAACCTTGTTTTCTTTCAGCCGTGTGAACAGTTCTTTAATTCATTACAATGTTCCCTTAATGCTTTATTCCCCTCCTACCTAATTTCTGAGCACTCGTTGTGCCGCCTGAGCCTTGTGGTCTTCTACTCGATAATACTTAACACCCCATGCGCACCCCTCCCAACACTGATCTGTGTGTTTGTGCGTGTGTGGTGTTTGTCGGGAGGTGGATTGTTGGACTGGGCTGGTGAGGATCTTTCTATTTTAGGGAGGCGTAAAAGAAGCAAACTCTGTAATGTGATGGTTAGTGCTTCTCAAATGATGGGAATGCAGAGCTGATCTGTGGTTCGATTTAGCCTTACTGCACAGAACTGGAGAAGAGGGGTGGTGAGCGAAAGGAAGATTTCAGTGAAAAAACATGTATGTTTAGCCAGGGCTGCAAGACTGAAGAAATATGTCTCCCCAAGGGAAGAAAATCTTTTGGGGGTTTGTATCATTTTGGGTGCATCCTTGCATGACACTATATGGCTGAGTTAGATTAAAGTACGAATCTCCCCTGTTACATAACAACACGTTGTTTCCTACAGGATGCCACTGCCACCACCACAGCTCAGCCTGGGGTTATAGTAGTCCCCCTCCTCCAGGTTAATCCAGACAGACAGCAAGAAGGCAGCTCCAGCACTCCACCACCGCCTCTGGTTCCTTTTGGGCAAGGCTCCGTATTCCCTGAGACTGTTTCTCCTGGCTCACCCTTGACTTTTCCAACTCTAGACGATTTCATTCCCCCACATCTCCAGAGGGGTTCCCACCATAACCAAGCACCCTCCACATCTGGCACATTACCCTCTGTTTACCCGAAACTGCCATTCTTCTCATCGCCACCTTCACTTGTCCCTCCAGTCACAGGGGCTTTGCACAGGGGCTTGAAGCCTGAAATCACTGGAGTCATCTCACATACAGTAAGCTTGCCAAGTACCCTCCTTGCCCTTTTCCTAAATTTGTATTCCCAGATTAAAATTACTTTCTCCTTGCAATACTAAACTTGAGAGAGGAGTGATGACTCACTCCCTCCCAGCAGCATGACAACTGAAACCTTGTTTATGTCCTGTGCTAGTGCATGCGTGTTGCCTGCCTTGTGCAGCTTTGAACTTTCTGTTGACTTCTTGCAACAACATTTGACTGTCTCCCTTTGTGCCCATTCTGCTAGGTAATGCATACTTTAAGAGTCTTCACAGGATTTGCTCAGGATAATGAATTCTGTATAAACAGAATAGCTGCAACTAAACTGATCTCTTCAGGCTCTTTTAATAGCATCCTTAATTGTGTTTGAATAACATTTAAAGCAGCAATAGCAGACCAGTTAAAGGTTAGGGCTGACTTTCTGTTCCATTTGGAGCCACAAGACTGTATGGTCTCTACACAGATCCCTGGTGAAATCAGTGTAAGATTGCTGCCTGTATCCAGTGATCTACGAGCAATAATACAAGTTACTGAACTAAGAGTATTCCAAGCATGTAGGTGCTATGGGATAGATTAGGGGGAGAGTGTCTGGTTTGTAATTGCTTGTCTTTGAAAATTTTGAAGAATTCAATCCGCAACAGTTTTAACCTGGAATTTACTGTGATATTCTCTGATTAGGTTTTGTTTCTCACTAAGCTCATCACCTGTCTTAAAAACATTAAGCTCATAACCTGTTTTAAAAAACCCTCAAGGACAAGGAGGAAAAGTTAAAGTTGCAGAGGAGGCAAAAAGTAGCTGACCCTCCTTGTACTGGAAGTCTTACAACGACCATTATTTTTTGTATGGTTGCTTGTAAGGACTAGTAAGAAGTTCAACTGAAACCCTCTCCTCTTGTGATGATGCTTTCTCTGCCTTCTGGCTCTATAGGGATCTAGCAAACAGGCATGTGGAGGGGAAAAAAGAAAAAAACAACCAAGGATAATATTTTCAAAAGTTCTAAGCATTGACCTTTTTGTTTCTGTTGAAATTGGAGGGGTTTACTGCAGAGAGCAATGAAAGTTTGGGGGTTTTGTTTGGTGTGTTGTTTTGTGGTTTTTTTGTGTTGTTTTTTTTTTAATGGAGCCCATCTGCAGGCTCCAGAAAAATTCAGCAGACATCCAAATCATAGAGGAGTAGTGGAAATTTTGTTGTACCTGATTTTCATTAGATGAGAGTTTTGAAGCGTTTTTGGGCATGTTCACTTCAGGCATGTAGTCACAGAGCTGTTTTCCACAATTATTTAAATGGTCTTTGTTCGCCCACTTTGGTGACTTAGCTGGGGCTGCTGAGCCTATCCTGATCTGACATCGCTCTTCTTGGAGGGATTCTTTGTATTTTAGTTATCAAAGTGAAGCTCAAACCCAACTCTCTCATACTTCTCCCTGATTCCCACTCCTTTCCCCAAATTGCATTGTTTGGAATATTATCACAGCCAGCATAATGGGGCTGGGTCTCTCTTTTAGGAACATCTATTTCTGAAGATGATTGATTCTTTTCTGTCCTCGTAAAATGTCTATGGTCTGATTGGATGCTGCTTGGAGCAAGATCCCCTCCATCCAGCAGAACAGGATTCTTCTTCCCTATTTCCCTTCTAGGTTGGAGAGACTGTAGATGCTTGTTCTGATTATGGCCAATTCTCACTATGATTTATCTCTGAGCTCTGGTGCCAGGCCTCGCTCTGGCCCCTGTTCAGCTCCCTGACTGATCCTGTAAGTCCTTTTCCCTGATGCTGGTGGGTATGAAGGGCATTGAGTTGCACTTGGCTAGAAAAGCTAGGAGTAGGGATTCTTCTGGAGCAATATTCTCTGCATATTCAGGTTTTTTTTTAATAGCGATGAAAATCACCCTGAATGCTCAGCTCCATTTTACAGATCAGTGGCTTGCAGCATTTCGGTCTGACAGTGGAGTAGCAGGAGTGCAGAAATCTGGTACACTGTTCCATAGTGTCTTTGTATGGATGCTCGTTCCCCGTTAATGGTAATTGTGTGTCCAAATTCCTTAAGAAGCTTTGAAAAATCTCAACCTAAACTGACACACACAGTCTTAGTTATCATCCCTTCTTTTTCTTTTCCCCTTACTACCAACAAAAGCCTGGTATCTCTGGACTGAGATTTTTCAAAGTTTAACTAGTTTTTAAAGTCTGCCTGCTGACACAGCCTGTACTTCTACAGAACAACCAGAACTGTGGTGATACCAGAGGTGGGTTTGAGATAAGCAAATAATGGAGCTGGATGCTTTAGGAGAGCAAGAGCAGCTTGCTATCTGTGTTCCAGCAGCAAAGCCGTGTTCAGTATCTTCCTTGCTAGAGTCCTACTTTTTACCCTCTATCAGTTTTCGGTTTTTTATTTCATTATTTTAACAAGGTAGGTGTCACACTGTCTCCTGAGTGATGGTGCTAACCTTATTCCTTGAACCTTCCTTACCGAACCAACTGCAGTAACAATGTTTCACTCCAGAATTGCATGAATTTTGCATGTCTGACTTCTTGCTGTGAAAGGAATACTTTTAAAACAAATGGTTGTGTATGTATGTGTCAAGGGAAAGACGTCTGCATTTTCCCCCCGAACCAGATTTGTTAATTTCTGGCACCCTGTGTTTGCTCCAGAGAGTCTGCCAGATGAATTTAGTGCCTCCTTCTGGGGCTGGAGTTGTGAAACCCAACACCAAATAATTATAGTACTGCCTCAGCAAACTAATTGCATTAACAACGAGCAGGGTACGTACAAGGAGCAGGGTAACACTCATGCTTATGCCTTTTTTACTAAAATTTGCTGTGATTATGCTTCTCATTCAGCTTAAAACGTTTTGGGTTTTTTCTTCCAGATTTTCTCAGCATAGCAGCGTTCTGCATGCTGCTAATGATGTGTTGCTCTCCTTTTCAGGACTCAGGTCCTGTGGTAAATGAAGTGCCCCAGCCTGGCACTGGCACTGACTATCCGACCTCCTTCACTTCAATCAACAAGTCTTCCTCTGCCTATCCCTCTACCACAATTGTCAATCCCACTATTGTCCTCTTGCAGCACAATCGAGGTAAGGAGACTTGCATGTAGATATTTGTGGCTCAAACTGAGCAACCTGTTATGCTACAAGGAACTGGAGACTCTGTGCCCCATGGATGATTTTAAATCCAGACTACTAAGAGCTAACAAAGCTGCCTCCAGAAAGTTGTAGTGACTGGAGCATGCAATAGGTAAGTAAGAGGTTAGAGGCATGGGACAGTGCCTACTTTTTCTAATTAAAACCTGTGGATCAGAAGCTACTCTGAGGTTGGGGGAGAGGTTTATAACTGGGCTATGGACATATGAATAAGTTATTGCAGGGTAACAGCTTATCCTCCGTCAGGTGTCCTGTCATGGTGGAAAAGGGTGTATGCTTGCATCTATCTGTCAGTAGAAGCAAGGTAGCTTGAGGTAGGTTCTCCATCACTGGAAAAGAGGATGTGTTACTTCTCAGCTACTGCAGTGAGAAAGCAGCCATGTTTTCAGTTACTGTGGGAGAGATTTGACCTCTGAATTCTCAGCAGAATTTACCCAATAATTAATAATCTGTTTGCCCGTAAGTTTGAACTTAGCAATTTCTTCCTCTATCCAGAAGTGGATCAACTCAGACTCATGCTGTAGTAGTCCTTGAGCTCTGGCTTTGCATATGAACAAAACAACCTTGTTTGAACACTCCCTATTTACTAGTCTAAGCCTTTCTCTGCCTCACAGCAGCTCCCTCTAAATGGACAGTTGCATCTCTTTACCTCTGGCATTAGAGGGAAACTTTGCATCTCCTTTTTAGGTCTCCTGATAGACTGGCATTACTGCAGCCTTCCAGTTCATTGTGCATTGCTAAAGATTGTAGCTTATAGAGGGCCACACAGATGCAGTCCAATTTGCCTTGGTTTCCAGGGGACTTAGGAAACTCCAGGACAAGCAGATTCCAATCTACAATGCTATGATTTACCTTTTGCAAAGGCGGGGCGGGCAGAGGGGCATCAGAAAATAGGAGCATGGCCTGCACTGCTCATATTGTAGTCATTCTAATTACAGGTGTGTGTTGATATGCTTCTTTGTAGCCCCTCATGTATTTCTTTTCAGTGTGTTTTAAAAACAGACTTCAGTCTTTGATCCTGAAGATAGTGTCCTCACTGTAGCCCAGCTAATTATAGGGGTAACGAGTGGGTTATCTCTTCCTTTTTGCCAGCATCTGAAGCAGCTTTGCATATGTGCTTCTGAATGAGGGTGTTAGGATTCCTCAGCTGCTTCAGGAGGAGAAAATACTATGTGAGGCAGCCTTTTTTTTTGTCTCAAAGCTTTTTGTTGACTTTCTTGAGGTGGGTTTCTTTGATTTTCGCATTAAATCTGGAGCATTTCATTGTGTACCACACAAGGATATTTTCTCTCTGTACGTTTTAAGAGCACAAGAGACAAATCTGTATAATATGATGATCCATACATACTGGCTCTGACACAACTGATGTCAAATTGTTCTGTTTACTAATTACCTTCACAGTTAACAGTTTGTCTTGTCTGCATAAGTCTTGCCTCTGACTATTAGCACTCATGATATTGTATCCTGATAGACTGAAATCCATGTCTTGTCACATTTTTGCTGACTCTTGACATAGATCATGGCCTGATAAGCAACTTGATTGAGTCTGTGAAGTATCTCATTCTAATGCGTGTTTTTCAGTCTTTATTAGTCAAACTTGTAATTTGCGAGAATCATATTGAACTGGTTTGACAAGACATCTTAGTCATAAATCTGTATTGACTGACATTGCATGTGTCATACTATGTATTTATTAGTAAAATCCCATATAAGTCATTACAGTATTTTTTCTGGCATTATTGTCAACTTGACAGACAGATGTCCCAGCCATCACACTAATGCTTTTCAAAAGTTGTCACAACATTTGGTTTTTTCCTTGTCCTGTGGAGTTTCCTTTGTATTCCAAGACATACTGAGGATGAATGTTAGCAGTCCAATGAACTGTCCTCTCCATAACTGTCCTCTTTAGAGCAGAAAACTGCTCTAAAACTCTTCAGAACAGTTTATATGAACGTGCTAATTTTTCAAGCATCTAACCTCAGTTTTCTTTCTGCATAGTTCTTAGTTACTGTTGAAGTGGAAAGTATTTCTCCATCAGGCGGGAGGATGTCAGACTTTTTTCTTTTTTTTTTTTTCCCCAAATGCAGAATGGTAATAGTAATTGGATATGTAATCTTTTCTGCCCTCTTACCAACAGTTCCACTGTGCCTATTTGGTGAAAGAACAAGATCATTGCTAGGTGTCTGTTTATTCTTCATGTACCTCAAAACCTATTTTTGAGTCTCCGAGACATTCTGTTAACTCTTATTTCCATTGTCATTTTCTTTCACTTCCCAGCATATGTTACCTACTCATAGGTATACATTTTCTTAGTTTTCCGTCTTTTTATGTGTTGAGGGTTTCTTACAGTTCCTTATGCTTCCATTCCTATCTAGGTTTTATCCCAGCATAGCATTAAGTTTTCTTTTTGCTAACTTAGTGTTTTTAAATGGTTCTGAGATCTTAGTTACCTATTACATTTCTGTCCTGGCTGACGTGATTCATATTTGGTTTCATCTTTATGGACCTTATCTATTCAAAACTGGTTTGGTCTCACGGCATATAACAAATTGGTACTAGGTTGTGATCCACCTTCCCCTGAATGGTTAATTATGTTTTGTGCTGAAATCAGTTCCTTCATGTCAAGATGAGGTTTAGTATAAATTCCTCTTGTGTGCTATGAAATACCCTCTGAATTAGAAATTTCAAGGTCATTTTAATGCTGACAGTCTGAGATCTCCAGTAGTTTAGTTAGTCTTCCAGATGGATAATGTGACTTGCTTTCTCTTCAGTGGATTATTGATTGCTTTTTAAGGAGCTGGTTATCTTATTCTCTGGAGTGACAGTTGTAGCAGACATCACCAACTGTCCTATTTTGTGCTTTATCTGCTAGCTCATTAACCTTTAAGCATATAAGACCCTTTGATTTGAAAGTATCAGAGACTTAAAAACAGGTAATGGCATTTGAAGTGCAGAAACTACAGTATATCCTTTTTTTGTCTGGTTGATCTTACTCAGTAAGTTGTGATGAGAGATCTCACAAATTTTTCTACTGGATTTCAGTAATACCAACTGAATAAGATTTATGCTTATAAACAAGTCATTTCAGATCCTTTTGTTCGTTCCTAGCACCAAGGTAAGAATTTCTTCCTTCATATCTGTTGGTGCCTTGATTAATTTTCTTTCTGACATTTTTATTTTGCACTAAACATGTACTCGAATACTTGTTTCCTCTTCCCCTTTTGTTGCTGGTTTCAAGTCTTAGTCTTCTCCAGTGCACCCTCCTATGGGAATTCTGAAGGCATCCATAATCGTTCCTTCACTGTTGCCAGCAGTTATATTCCTCTGCTTGACCCTTTCTCCTGGAAGGCTGCAAGTTTCTGGCCTTTGCTTACAGTCCCAGGACACAAGATCAAGGGTGAAAGGCTCAGTTAGCTGGCGTGTGCCTGGGGCTGCAAGCTGGCTCTGGTCAGGCAGGAAAGTGAAATAGCAGATGCCTCCTGCTCCTTCCGCTTCTGTCCATCAGCAGCTCTTTCCTACTCAGAGACATAAGTGAAAAGGGAACCAGGGAACCTCCACTTCATGTAAAAAGTACTTTTTTTTCTTCATGAAAAGTCTATTCATCGATTATATTCTCTCCCTTGTGGAAGAAGAGATAGGAAAGAGCTCTCAAGCATCAACTCTTTAAATCACGTGTTTTTGACAGGCGACCTTAGTGATTGCAGTTCTACACAGTGAAGGTGATGGCTGAAGCTGAGACCATCCTCACTCAAATCTTTTCTCCTATCTTATAATACAGCAGCCTACTCCTGATGGCCTGCTCAGAAGAGTGAACCCTGCAGCAGGTGGTTCCCATCTACTTTTCAGGTTCAGATTGCTAACCCTTCCTTTTACTCATTGCACACAGCGGGTTGTTTCCATGTTGGCAGCTATCATGTGAGCGCAATGCACGTGAACAGCTTGCCATCGATGGTTAGCAGAGCAGAAGTGCTGGGGTTAAAGAACAAAGTTCATAGGTATTGTTAAGGGAGCTGCACTTAGTGAGGAGAAATATTCATCTCCCTTGCTGAGATGATCCACTTAGTACAAGTATCTAGTGAAGGTGGGTTCTGCTAGCAAACAGCATACACCTGGAGGATTGTTACCTACTGCAGACTTGCTTGGCAAGTGTCCCGTGCTGCCTCAAAGCACAGTTATTTCCTGGGCAGGCATTGCATGGCATGGTTTAATATGAATATATAACAAGTGTGATTAATATATTGAAGTTTTGAAATCTTTGCATTAACAATATAAGCTTTCAAGAGTGTTTGTGTTTTATATGTCAGTAAAATAGTTTGTTCTTTTCAAATGGCTTTCATGCTTTAAATGAAGGGATTAATTGCTAGGGAGTAGAAAGAGCAAAGAACAGAGAGCTAAGAATTCTTGGTTTATTCCCAGCTGTGACTTGGGCAAGTCATTTGGGCGTCCCTTTAGAAAGCAGCTGTGAGCATCAACTTTAAGGTGGTCAAACACACTGGAAGATACCGCAAATATCCCAGTCTGGGAACTCGGGAATGAAAGGCCCTAAACCAAGGGGAACTTTCTGAGAATCAAAGCCTTAACCAAGCTGTGTCTGTGCGCAAATCACTGAATCTGTGACTCGGTAGTATGTGATGAGACTCAGCAAGTACCAGCAATGACTCAATCCTTTCCTATATCCCTTCGAAATGCTACAGCATTATTGTTTCAAAAAGTACTTCAGGCTAATGGTAACAGAGTTAGTTGTCAAGTTGCTTGAGCCTTTACTGTAGTTTTCCAAATTGTCTCCCGTCCAACTTTTTTCATTCTCTGATGTTAATGAAAAAAAAAGCTCTTTGCAAATGTATCAGTCACTGTATCATGAGATTTGTATTATTCCATGAGGCTGTTGTGTGGAGAAGGGACTGTGGGCTGTCACTTTGGCAGGGTATTTGAAAACAGATTCTCTCCAGCAGCTGCTGCCGTTCTGTCTACAGCATATTTCTTGCCTGTCAGAATGCAGCACCAGAGCACTTGCTGTTTATGTCTCACCCATTTGTTCTGTATTTCTTTTTGTTTTGTTTCTTCCTATACCACAGAACAGCAAAAAAGGCTTAGTAGCCTGGCAGGTATGATGTGAAAGGTCTGCTACCTCCCAACTGCTGCCTGTGCTGGAGCAAAGCTGCTGCTTTGTTAGCTTGTGGAGTACCTTTAGCAAACACACTTCCCAGGAACTGCAAAGGAATCAGTATAAATATTTGTCCTGGCTTAGTCCAGGTCACTGAATGTTTGATTTCAGTCTTTTCTCCAAATGCTACCTGTGTCAGTATGTTAACACTATGTGTTAATATACCAAAACCCTAAATTACTCATCTGTTCCTCCTAAGTCATAAGATTTACATACAGTTTGATTGTTCTAGCTGACTTTTGGGGCTGCCTTTTCTGCCTTTAAGTTTATTCCCTTGGGGCATATTCTCAAATTTCACTACATAGCAATTAGAGCTAGTCTTGCTTGTGGTGAGGGGAGAAGAGGAGAAATAAAAATCACAGAATCATCAGGGTTGGAACAGACCTCTGGAGATCACCCAGTCCAACCCCCCTGCCAAAGCAGGTTCACCTACAGCGGGTTGCACAGGATCACAACCGGATGGGTTTTGAGTATCACCAGAGAAGGAGACTCTACAACCTCTCTGGGTGGCCTGTTCCAGTGCTCTGCCACCCTCAAAGTAAAGATTTCTTTCCTCGTATTAAGATGGAACTTCCTGTATTTCAGCTTGTGCCCAGTGCCCCTTAACCTGTCACTGGGCACCACTGAAAAGGGTCTGGCTCCATCCTCTTGACATCTAGCCCTAAGGTATTTGTAAGTATTGATCAGATCTCCTCTCAGGCTCTTCTCCAGGCTGAACAGACCCAGTTCCCTCAGCCTTTCCTTGTAAGGTAGATGCTCCAGACCCCTTATCATCTTTTTTGCCCTCCACTGGACTCTCTCCAGTAGTTCTTTGTCTTTTTTGAACTGGGGAGCCCAGAACTGGACACAGTATTCCAGATGTGGCCTCACCGGGGCAGAGCAGAACGGGAGGATAACCTGCCTCAAGGTTATTAATCAGTATTTACATGACTCCAAGAGCGGAAGTATTTGTGCCAGATGTCAAGAAACAGATGATAAAATCGTAGTGTGCAAGTCTGCACGTGTGCTGCCACCCTTCTCTCGCTGGGCAGCTCTCTGCTCTTGCAATGAGTGTGAGAGTCTCTCCTTGAAAGAAGAGCAAGTTGTTTTCCTGGTCATCTTTCTGTTCCCACACCCCAAATAGAAGTATTTCAGCCTGCAGTGGGCGTTACAGGAGCAATGCATTATGCACCAGTGACCCATATGATTATTCTTTGGTTATGGTCATGGTGGGGTAAATGGAGAGGTGGTAGAGAAGAGAGTCACAGAGAGTGCCTAAGCACTTTAAATATCACAAATAGAAACACGGGGAAGCCAATACTGCATGCTTTTGCTCTTCTGCATGGGCCCTGGACTAGCAGACCGTGCCCCATGAGAACAGCATCTGCCCATGAGGCAGCTGCTGAGCTGGTCCAGCTTCATCCACCAGGTTCCTTCAGCTGCAGCACCAGCCTGTCCCTCCTCTCTCCTGCCACCCTGCTGAGGTGACAGGCTGCATAACAACTTACACTGGTTTCTCTCAGGTCCTTCCCTTAGTGCAGGTGTTGTCTCATCTGACACCACTCAGCTGCAAGTTTAACACCTGTCTGCAAGGCTGGACGGAGGTATCCTGTTGGTTTTCCCTTTCGCAAGGTGTTTCCCTTCATTATCAGGAACTCCTTTGTTTTCTGAACTAGAGAGAGCCACAGAGCAGTTTGTTACAGCCCAAATGATCCTCAGTCTGGGAGAATGAAGCACATTGTAGCACAGCTGGGTCTGTACCTGTTCTCAGTGTACTGAAACAACCACACAAAGCTGCTGGCTGCCATCTCTCCCCCTACTTTTTCTGTCCTCTTGGTCAGAGCAGTAAAACTCTCTTGCTGTGCAACCCCATGTATTGCTGCTGCTCTTGCAAAAGGATAGCTAAGGTGCCATGGAGTGCACTGACTGGTGCATTCTGGTTATCTGGCTGATTAGGCACCAGATTTAGCGCTCTGATTTTTGAATACCTCAAAGCCTAGTGTATAACTCCATAAACTCTTTTTAAATCATTGGAGCTGCATGGCGAATAAGTCAGTGTGAAACTTAGCCATTATTTTCCAAGTTGTAGGGTATTACAGGAAATTTGTGGTGAAAGATGTCTGCTTTAGATCCTCGCTCTGCAAAGACACCCATGCAGCAGGTGTCTGTTTGCAGTATCAGCTGAGCAGCCAAACTGGACCAGCAGCTAAGTTGGTCCTCTTGGTTGAGTCCTGTGGACCTAGGCAGGACTTACCTGGCAGAGTGCACAGGGAAGGCTTGCCCTAATACAACTTGTGCTGTCAGACAGGCCTTTCCTGTCACCAAGTTTGTCAGTCCAGCACCTTCAGCCAGTTCTAAGTGCACTCCAAAAAATATTTTTGAAAACTCATTCAAAATACTTTCAGCTAGCTGGTAGATTTTTTTTTTTCCCTCTGGTTATGCCATGCTAGATAGCTCCCAAACCTTGATGTTATAATGTTAAAGATGTGAATTTGTGGTTGGGAGATGGCTGGCACAGGCCAGGTGCTGGGTTTTATTTTTGCTAAAACATCAAAATAAAGATTTTACTTGGATCATGGCTGTGGCACTGGGAAATCAGATTGTGATGCATTTACCCTGTTGTTTACATTTATATTAGGTGTTTTTAATATTATCATCATAGTTTCAGAGGGGATCTACCTAGCAAATGGCCAACCACTTTTCCAGTGCAGGAAGCTAGGGAATCAAATAGAAATAATGTATATTTACCAGTCCTATTAGAGAAGGACTTTGTGACCTTCTCTGGCATTGAATTCTTTAGCCTGCAGAAAATAATGACTTTTCTAGACTAGAGGACTCAGGACTTGTGAAATCAGCAGTGACAATGGAAAGTAATGGAGGAAAGTTGTGACCTTTCCTAAAGTTTGCATCCTCTCCACGTCCATGAATGGTCTCATTTCGGTTGCTCTTTCCATGCTCTGTTCCTAGAGGCTTAGTAAGGAGTTTAGTAATGGACGTGGACCAAATACTTTCTGCAAAATGGAGAGCCCTGTACACCAGGGACAGGAAAGGACCAAAAGACAGTGCACACATTCACAGGGAGGGGAAATAGGATGAAGATGTTAAACAAGGATTTAATAGATACTTTGCCCCATTCTGAACAATTATAAGCATAATTTCATTTTTTCTTAAAGAGGAGGAAGACTTAAAGTTTGATGGTAATTTCGAGCCAACCACTCAAACCAAATCCTTCATATACTGAGTTTCGCAGGGCAGAATTGTGTTTGCTCAAGGTACCAACAGAGCAATGCTTTGTTATGCACGAGCCTTTCCTCTGCTAACTGCCCCTTTCATATTTCTGCACATTTAATGGCTTTGGGTAGTATGGTGATGTGCATGTGAATAAACATCTCTCTCTCTCTCCCCCCCCCATGCATGCAGTGATGTAAAAAGGATAGGACTTGGCAAAGTCTTGATGAGGCAGACTGTAAAATCACAGATATTTCCTCTCCAGAAAGTCCGCATAGAAAAAGTCCTCAGCAGAGCCTAAGTGTTGCTGTCCTGCAGCTGTCCAGGGCATAGTAGAGCTCCCTTCGTTCCTTGGCCAGTGGTGGTGGTGGTGCCTGCTGCTATGTGTGGGTGTCAGTCGGGCAGTGTCAAGGAATTCCAGGTGGAAGCAAGGTGGTCTGGAGCAATTAATTGTCTCCCCCCATCTTCATGCAGACTCATGTGCAAGAGGAATCATACGTATGCTTAAACAACAGCGGAATATGTTGTTTACAAACTCTGGTTAGGGCACAGAGATGAATTGGAAGCATCGTGTACTGACTAACAAATAGAATTGTCAGGCAGGTGAGTACAAGCTGTTAAAAAGTAGTGCCCCACTACCACATAGGATACTTTGTTAGATTGAAATCGCCAGCAGAAAAAGATGTTTAGGAGACTATTGCTGATGCTTTTTGATGAAGAATGAGATTACAGAGTCACTAATTATTCAAAAAGATATACAAATTTTCCGTTGTTTTACATGACTGCTGCGACTGTTATGAGGGGTGTGAAGGCAGCTACCTGAGCTAGCCTGCTTTTGCTGGCATCAAAACATTTTCTTGGTGGATTCCCTTCAGTCTAGATGTTAACCACAACTAGCAGTGACACAGTCTGTCTCATCAACTGCTTGCCAGGATTTTTGCCTTAAAATTAGAGTGGAATATGGTGATGCAGTGAAATGCTGGGATGAGATAAGAATCCCCTATTGTCATTTCCAGATTCAGTGCCAGACAGACTAGTTTCTGATAAAGTTGATTCAGCACTCATACGGGACAAGCCAGTTCAGGAAACAGTGCCAAGTGAGAAGAGGGCAATGGAAGAGAAGAGAAGCATTGTCAAGAGCCCTCAGCATGTGGCTGATACCTCCGTCGATGATATTGGCATTCCACTGAGGGTAAGACAACACTGAGCATGTGGTCAATGCACAAAACTTGGGCCAGATTCTGCCTACCTTATGACTTAGGGAATTCACTGAAGCTCCAGAGACTGCAGAGATTTAAGGGAAGATAGAATTCTAGTTCCAATGTATTTTATTATGAATGCTTCCATTTGCTATCAATGACCTGTTTCAGCTGCCTCAGGGGAAAAAAATTAAAAATTATTGTCTCTTTTCATCATATTTGAGAATACTGTTTTCTGCTCTTTTGTTTCATTCACAGCTAGCAGCTAAGGGAGAGTTTTGTCTCATTTTAACCGTCTTAAAGGCAGATATCTCTTTCATACAACAAGTTTAAGTTCATTCAGTGTTAAGGGGAAATTGTCATGAAAAGAATTACTAACCTATTCTTACAACTAGTGTCTGGAGTGACTTGAACACTAAATGTTTCTAACTGTCCATTGAATACTTAGGAAATCGGTATGTATGACTAAAATAGGCAAAGTGTCTTTTAGATGTCAAATCAGATTAATAAGCAAAACCATCCACACAATCTACAGTTCTACACAGGTTACAACCTACCTCTGCAAAGCTTGTGCATTATTAGTAACTTGACTGAAACCTGTAATTTCATTACATATGAAATTATGTATCTGAGTGAAATCACTCATATTTCAAAGTATTAATTTCACACAACCTTCATATAGCAGAGTGTAAACCTTTTTCAATGCTGGAAGATTTGTAAGAACTTTGAAAGGCTGGTAGAATTCATGGTTATGATATTTATTTTTCCAATAGAATACAGACCGATCGAAGGACTGGTACAAGACGATGTTCAAACAGATCCACAAGCTGAATAGAGGTACTGTAACACAGATGTTTTTTATTTACTTTAAAAGGACCACCTTGATAACATTTTGCTTCATTCATGTGAAGAATTGTACTGGATGTTAAATAAAAGGATTTTATGTTAACTAGTGTTTGCTCTGCACCACAGAACTCAACCAATGTATTTGAAATCTCTGAAGTCAAAGGTGAAAGAACAGTGAAGTCCAAAGAAAGGTCTGAGTTGTTCTGAAAGGTGAACTGCAGTGCCCTCATGAAATCAAGAGTATTATTTGAGATCAGAAGGCTGCTAATCATGCCATACTTAGAGAAAATAGATCCCTGAACTCCGGTTTTAGAAGCTAACCCTCCACCCCCACCCCCATTTTTAAAGAACAGTACATTACCACTGAAACTACTCTGTGCATAGGAGAAAACTTTTTACACTGTAAAGCTTTAGTACCTGCATAACAAAGCTTGATTTGAAGATCACTGAAACCAATGGAAAGGTTTCCATTGATTTTTGGTGAGTTTAGAATCTGAACTCTGTTTTTTCAAAACCTAAAATTTTCTCCTTTCAAAACCTAAAATTGTGGTGAGCATTTGCAAAGTTTGTAGTGGTGTACTCTCAGAGGATCCACTACTTTGGGGCATTTCTGTGCCTGGCTGCTGTTACATTCATATTCTTACTTTTGTGTGAGAAATGGCTGCGGTAGCATTTGCAAACTGAACCCTCTGAACAGCCTGATGTGCAGGCAAAAGCGATTCAGAGCTGTGCTTATATAATGAAACGTAGAGCATGCAAAACTGGAGCTGTATTTACTGCTGCAGGTGCTGTCATGATGAGCTTTATGCATAGATAAATGCTGTGTTGTATTGAATGGAATGAGGATTTGAGCTGTTTCCTAATCCCAGTGCTCCTAACAGAGGTTCTTCAGCTCAGCCAGAGCCCATGCTTCAGAAGGAGGAGAATGAGTTCAGTCCCCTTGACTTCCAGGATCTCTCACAGGGCCCAGACATGCAAGACAGCAACAAGCAGAGAGGCATCTAGGTTGTGTCATGCTAGAACATCAGCACAAGAGGGACTGTTCTGCAGTCAGCTTGTATGGATTCTTGTCTTGCCCTTCTTCCCCTTTAAATCTGTCCTCTCTGTTCTTTTTTGCAAATCACGTTCCTCTCCTTAGACACTCCTGAAGAAAACCCTTATTGCCCTACCTACATATTTCCTGAACTTCCTGAAATACAGCAAAAAACTGAAGGTACCAGAAGTTTAGTCAGAGTATCTGTTGTCTTGTGCTTTGAGTTAACTGTACTATAGCATCCTAATAGTAACTAGATTCAGGTTCTAGATTTGTGTTACCCATGTGTTACACTGGCTGGAAATTCAGTTATGCCCAGTATACCTTCCTGTGTGATGCGTAAAATAACTAAATCTTTACTAATCCGTTAATCTTTTTTTAAAGTATGATGCCGTTTACTCTAGTATTATTAAAGTAGGCAATAAAATCATAACGGTGATAGGAAATTGGGGGATGAAGCAGAACCTCCACTTCACTGTGGATAGTCTCAAAATCCACTGCTTTTCTCTGCTGCAGAAGACAATCCTTATTCTCCTACATACCAGTTTCCTGCGTCTACTCCTAGTCCTATCTCTGAAGGTAATCATAAAGGACCGTATATAATTTTCTGCACAAATGCTGCCTTACCCATTTATTTTCTTCCTGGAGTTTTTTCTAGTTGCTGAGCATTATGCTGCCTCATAATGATTTGCTGCACTCTAAGCATTGCCTTGACTGTATGATGCCTTTTTGCCTTTGCAGTGCTCCTCTGGCTTTGTAACTAGTATTTGACTAATGCTACAGACTTGAGGTTTGCTTGGTTTTGTGCGCTTATCAGTTGTATTTAGTCATGTGTGTGCAGTGATTATTTAACATGCCTAGAATGCTGACTTACACATGAAGATGTGGTTTAACTGAGATTTCTCCCACCCACCTTTCAGATCAATAAGTTTCTTTAATTATTTACTTCTGGTTTTGAATATTAACACAGTATTAGGGCCGGACCTAAAATGCCACTGAAGTCTATTGGTAAAAAGGCTGCTTGCTTCAGTGGGTTTTGGATCAGTCCCTCAATGTAGTCTTTTAAAATAAATATAACTTGGTAACACAGGTTCAGGGCTGGCCTTCGGTGCACTTGACCTATTTAGGCAAGGACAGATTTTCACAGTCTCATTGGCACATCTTGCAACTTGAAATAACGCTGTGTTTACCTTATCCTTTTCATGTGCTCAGCAGATTCCTTTAAACTTCATATACAAACCAGAATCCTTTGCAGTCATGTTTCAGCTATGGTGACATAGCATCTATTGCAGTGATAATCATGTAACTGTGTGCATATGCATGAAAACACTTACATATGAGAAACACTGGAATCTGCTGCACACATTGGACATGCAGACATTTCCTGACTGGTAAATTGTTGTTGGTGACAACCTTGTTGACTTGGTGCTTTGGTGTCACTTTAGATCCTGCAATTTAGGAACTTGCCTACTTAGCCTGTGCCTCAAGCCAACCCTGGTGAGACTGTTAATTAACAATTTCATTCAATGTTTATATTAAATGTCTGGTGAGTACTGTGCAAGAAGAAAGCATACATTACGGGTTCTAGCTAAGATGCTCAAAGAAGACTAGGAGATGTAAGGTGCATTTCACTGTTAAAATGAATGTGGACTAGTGTCATACAAGTATCTAAGATACTTGCTCATTTCTTGGTGAAACCTGTAGGTGAAGAGTCCTGTCTTGCAAATCATAATGCAGTGTAAATTATTTTCTATTGGCAGAATGGTGTGTGCGTATAGATGAGAAAGAAACGAAGAGTCTCAGTAACTAATTGATAAAGGAGTTTTACAGTGATAAAATTTTCTTGTTTGTAATGAAGTCCGAAAATCTATTTTGCTCTTGTCCAAACCAACATAGTTTACAAAACTAGTGATGATAATATATTAAGAGTCTGATTTCCCATAAATGGCCCATATGCACTTACAAATGTGCATATGAAAATAATTTGCTTGTTTAGGTAGTTGAAATTTTATTGGATCGAACACTTGCTTTTTATTCTCAATATGCTGGGAAATGTTTCTCTAATATTTGCTTGGATTTGTTCCTTGATAAGGAATCTGGAATATCTGATGATGTAGATGGGCTGGAGTGCATGTTTCATGTTTAGAAAACATTTCAAAGTTACATACTTGATGGCAAAGTGTTTATATAGAGATGGGTTGAAGCCTCAATTTCATACAATTAGTGTTGGAGTTTTTTGCTTTGCATTGATGCATAGGATCTAGAAACATCAAGATTTGGGTTCCCCTCTAAAATACATTCAGAGTCTCTAGAAATGCAGAGAATATGGCCAACCCATGAAAAAAAAAAACCTGCAGATTCTCTAGGAACTACAGGGGAACAGCCTCTTCTCGCTAAAGGAATCAGATTTTGAAATTACAAACTGGTGATACTCTGCTCCATTAAGGAGGGTCCTAGAGAGCCAGGAGATCTTGTTTTAATGCTCATCTCTGATTTACTCTTTAATCTTTATAAAGTCATTCCAGATTTCTGTGTTTCAGTATTCCTTGCTGTGAAAAGGGAAGAAATATAGATACTCTTCTTCATAAGATACTCAAAGAGACAAAACATGCTTGTTCTCCTTATTATTGTAGATACTAGATTATTAACAATCGGAAAATAGCACTTATCTGAAGTGAATATTTTGTTGTATGGTTTTCCTGTCTGAATGATGAGCTATAACAAATATTGATAGTTCTCTTCAAGTAAATAAACCAATTTTTTCATTGATCACTACTACTAAATAGGACTATGAGAGGTGAATGGATGTGAAGATAGTTTTAGACGTTTGTTCATCTGTATTTGTAGAGACCAAGAGTTTTGTGATTTACTAAGTATGTTGCTATCTGAATAAACCCTTCTTTTATATAGGAATACCAGTTAATTTTGTCAACAACTCAGTGCAATAACATCAAATAAATAAATATTTGTTTTCTGTCATTTAGAATTAAAATATGGGAATTGGCTTGAAAATTGACCCTCATTATTTTTTTAACCTGATGGTTATGATAATCACACCAGAGTCAATAACCATCTGTTTGGAACTTAAGCCTTCTAATTCATTCACCAAGAGAACTCAGCAGAGAGGCTAAAAGTAAAGACCTCTTTGAGCCTTCTTGAAAGGCTTGATTAAGGCTTGAGTACAATTTCAGGTCAGCTATGTTAGCCAGATTGTTTTTTTTCTAGCAGATAACATTGGATGTAACAACTGATTGATGTCCTCAAGAGAAGATCTGGAAATCATTTCAATCTGTTGATTGGCATCACTTAATTCACATAACACTTTTGTAGTATGTCCTTTTCCCATCTAGCTTATTCTAGCTTAATCTATTTTGTTTTTCTGTCTTTTTATCTCTTGTCACTTTTAATGGCTTCTTCACAGAGGTATTAGTAATACCTTTGCTCACAGTTCTCTTTGCAGTCATTGCATTGTACTTTCTGCATTTTGCCTTGGAAGTCCTGTAGATGTCTCATATACACATCCCTGCAAGTTTGAACTCTTCTCAGCAGAGAAAGGTGATGGGCCTGTGGGTCCAGTTCCCAGGTCTGATCCCAGCTTCCTCTGCTACTACCTGTGATTCATTGAAGATGCATTCCAAAGCCTGTTAAAGATGATGGAAAGATACCATTAGGTTTTTGATCAAGTCAAAGTCTCTCTGGCCATCACCTATAGAGTAGGGGATGGTAATGCTGCCATCCTCTCACCTTCTTTTTGGACACATCTGCCTTGTGCACTGTGCAGTACCACGTTACCTTTGAATAAGGCAGTATGTGTTTCCATGGCCCAAGGCAGCAGTTGTGTCCTGGGAACAACATTGCTGTGTTGATGCAGTGTAACACTTCACTGCCAAAGAGACAAGGTTGTTCAGCTTGGGGGCCAAACCACACCACTCAGTTACACTGATGTCGTTGCTAGCTCTTTTAGAGCTGCTTAAATATCTCTACTGCATTCTATAGGCATGTCTTTCCAATTTAAGAAGTAAGCTCTTCAGAACAAAGGTGGTCCCGTGGTGCAAGTATGCATGTGTCTCATGCCAGGAATCTTAACTGCGCTTAAAAGATAATCTGAGTCAGTGAACATACTTCAACTTAGTGTACAAGTTAAAGCAAGGAAGATGCCCCATTGATTATCATATATGATTGGGAGCAGGACTCCTCAGCTCTATTACTGTGTCTAGCACCTGAGGAGTTATTTTAGGCATATACTACAGCTTTTAGATCCTCTACTTATCTTTCAGCTTTTGATAAAATGGATCTAATAACCCATTCTGTACAGAAGTTTTGTGATAAAAAGTGATTGTTTTCTAAAGTGCTTTGAGAAGTTGAAGAAAGGTATTAATGTAAGTAGTATGTTAATATTTATGCCTAATCTAGGAATTATATTTAAATGCAATTTAAACCTCATTAGGATTTTCTTTTTTTGGGATACTCTCCCTGCGGTAAGTAGTGGGCATATCACTCAAATTATGGCAAATGTATTAGCAAAAGAAATGAAAAGTGTCTCTGATGCTGCTGCTTTGGAGCTTTTTCAGCTCACTTGCAAAATGCTTTTGTATTTCAGATGAAGATTCTGATTCATACTCTCCTCGTTACTCCTATTCTGAGGACAGTAAGTAATTCACATTTCTTGTGTAATCTGTCAAAGAGAAAGGGCATGTAAAGCATGTATTTTTTTGCCTCCTATCCAGTTCACCAATGTTCCTATATTTGACTTGTCCTACAGGCAGAACCCAGCTTTCAGTTCCCCGCTCCAAGAGTGAGACGGATTATATTGATTCAGAGAAGGTTGTTAAGAGATCTGCCACTTTGCCACTGCCAAGCCGTACTACTTCACTGAAATCAAGTCCAGAAAGGTGACCTGAACTAAGATATATTTGGATCAGTACTGGAAGAATCTCTGAAACCTGTGAATGGGAAGGGAACAAAGGTGGAAGCTTTAGGTCCACAACTCCAGTTAAACTTTTTTTGGGAAATGGAGATGTAGTTTTGACTCTGACTCTTCTACTAGGCAGCAGTGAACTCCTTCATTGTCACAGCCCAGTTTCCCATTTTGTCTGTCTCTCTCTTTACCAGGCATCCCACAGTCTGTTGCATAGCTTCCTGCCTGGGTGAGGATTGTTTCCCTGGGTGTCATGCTTATACAGTGCCTACCGTAGAGACACAGTGGAAAGTCTTGGCTCAGTGTGACACTGTAAAGGCACCTCAGAATACAAGCAAGTAGCAATAATTGTAGAGAAGAAAAATTTGGATTTATGTTGAGCCTTGGTAAAAGTTTTGTTATGTTTTCCATCTCTGAGGAGTCCTACCGATACGAATTTATTGGAAGTAGGTTCTAGTTAGCAGTGTCATTTCTGATCTTTCAAGATGACTTCCCTTCTGGTTTTTTGCTTTGTTTATTACCATCTATTTTAAACCTCTTTGTAACAGTAATGAATGTGTTTACCAAATGAAGAGAAAGGAGAATGAGAAATGAATGT